TAGGCTGCCTTTTGGACAGAAGTAGCAGGAGCAGCAGCAGCCGCAGGAAACAGCGTCTTCAGCAGCAGGCGAAAAATGATTGCTAAAAATCATAAATGATTGCTAAAAATGACCATTTTCTATGGGTTTCAGAAGTTACATTAGGCAGTTTTTGGGCGCACTTTTGATGCGTTTCCGTCCTTCACTGCCATGGGGATTTGCCGCTGGGATTGGTTCGATTTTAGTCTACTTTTTGAACAGAAGGAGTAGCAGGAGCAGGAGCAGCAGCAAAAAAGTAGCTAAAATCATCATGTTCTATGGGTTTCAGAAGTTACATTAGGCAGTTTTTGGGCGCAATTTTGCTGCTTTTCCGTCCTTCACTGCCATGGGGATTTGCCGCTGGGAGTGGTTCGATTTTAGGCTACCTTTTGAACAGAAGGCGTAGCAGGAGCAGGAGCAGCAGCAGCAGCAGGAAACAGCGTCTTCAGCAGCAGGCGAAAAATGGTTGCTAAAATCATCATTTCTATGGGTTTCAGAAGTTACGTTAGGCAGTTTTTGGGCGCACTTTTGATGCGTTTCCGTCCGTCACTGCCATGGGGATCTTGCCGCTGGGAGTGGTTCGATTTTAGGCTACCTTTTGAACAGAAGGAGTAGCAGGAACAGGAGCAGGGGCAGGAGCAGCAGCAGCAGAAGGAAACAGCCAGGAGAAAAAAGTAGCTAAAATCATCATTTTCTATGGGTTTCAGAAGTTACATTAGGGAGTTTTTTGGCGCATTTTTGATGCTCTTCTGACCTTCACTGCCATGGGGATTGGCCGCTGGGAGTGGTTCGAGTTTAGGCTGCCTTTTGGACAGAAGTAGCAGGAGCAGGAGCAGCAGCAGCAGCAGGAAACAGCGTCTTCAGCAGCAGGCGAAAAATGATTGCTAAAATCATCATTTTCTTTGGGTTTCAGAAGTTACATTAGGCAGTTTTTGGGCGCATTTTTGCTGCGTTTCCCTCCTTCACTGCTATGGGGATTTGCCGCTGGGAGTGGTTCGATTTTAGGCTACCTTTTGAACAGAAGGCGTACCCAGCAGGAGCTGGCCATAGTTTCTATACTTGAGAAGGCGCATTAGCACTGGCACACACCCCCCGTACCCCAGCTTTCTTCTAGCAATTGGTAGCAGCAGGAGGCAGGCTGCAGCAGGAGCAGCAGCACCAGCTGCAGCAAACAGCGTCTTCAGCAGCAGGCGAAAAATGGTTGCTAAAATCATCATTTTCGCTTGGTTTCAGAAGTTACATTCGACAGTTTTTGGGCGCACTTTTGATGCGTTTCCGTCCTTCACTGCCATGGGGATCTTGCCGCTGGGAGTGGTTCGATTTTAGGCTACCTTTTGAACAGAAGGCGTAGCAGGAGCAGGAGCAGCAGCAAAAAAGTAGCTAAAATCATCATTTTCTATGGGTTTCAGAAGTTACATTAGGCAGTTTTTGGGCGCAATTTTGCTGCTTTTCCGTCCTTCACTGCCATGGGGATTTGCCACTGGGAGTGGTTCGATTTGGGGCTACCTTTTGAACAGAAGGCGTAGCAGGAGCAGGAGCAGCAGCAGCAGCACCAGCTGCAGCAAACAGCGTCTTCAGCAGCAGGCGAAAAATGGTTGCTGAAATCATCGTTTTCGATGGGTTTCAGAAGTTACATTAGGGAGTTTTTTGGCGCAATTTTGATGCTCTTCTGACCTTCGCTGCCATGGGGATTGGCCGCTGGGAGTGGTTCGATTTTAGGCTACCTTTTGAACAGAAGGCGTAGCAGGAGCAGGAGCAGCAGCAAAAAAGTAGCTAAAATCATCATTTTCTATGGGTTTCAGACGTTACATTAGGCAGTTTTTGGGCGCAATTTTGATGTTCTTCCGACCTTCACTGCCATGGGGATTGGCCGCTGGGAGTGGTTCGATTTGAGGCTACCTTTTGAACAGAAGGAGTAGCAGGAACAGGAGCAGGAGCAGGAGGAGCAGCAGCAGCAGGAAACAGCCAGGAGAAAAAAGGAGCTAAAATCATCATTTCACATGGGTTTCAGAAGTTACATTTGGGAGTTTTTTGGCGCATTTTGATGCTCTTCCGTCCTTCACTGCCATGGGGATTGGCCGCTGGGAGTGGTTCGGTTTTAGGCTGCCTTTTGGACAGAGGAGCCCCATTCAGTCTTTTCGCTTCGAGATCCTGCGATGTTTTCACCATTTAGCTATCCAGCTTTACCCTAATTTCATCAGAAGATGTGTTAGATCATGTTAACCTGCGAGCGGTTTAAATAGGTAAGAAAACAAGCAGGAGCAGGAGCAGCAGCAGCAGCAGGAAACAGCCTGAAGAAAGAGCGTAGCTTAAAATCATCATTTTTTTCTATTGGGGGGGGGGGTGGGTGGGTTGGGTGGTTTCATAGCAGTAAATAGGCAGTTTTTGGGTGCAATTTTGCTCCTTTTCCGTCCTTCACTGCCATGGGGATTTGCCGCTGGGAGTGGTTCGATTTTAGGCTACCTTTTGGACAGAAGGCGTAGCAGGAGAAGGAGCAGCAGCAGCAGCACCAGCTGCAGCAAACAGCGTCTTCAGCAGCAGGCGAAAAATGGTTGCTAAAATCATCATTTTCGCTTGGTTTCAGAAGTTACATTCGGCAGTTTTTGGGCGCACTTTTGATGCGTTTCCGTCCTTCACTGCCATGGGGATCTTGCCGCTGGGAGTGGTTCGATTTTAGGCTGCCTTTTGGACAGAAGTAGCAGGAGCAGGAGCACGAGCAGCAGCAGCAGCAGGAAACAGCCAGGAGAAAAAAGGAGCTAAAATCACCATTTTCTATGGGTTTCAGAAGTTACATTAGGGAGTTTTTTGGCGCAATTTTGATGCTCTTCCGTCCTTCACTGCCATCGGGATTTGCCACTGGGAGTGGTTCGATTTTAGGCTGCCTTTTGGACAGAAGTAGCAGGAGCAGCAGCAGCCGCAGGAAACAGCTAAAAATGATCATTTTCTATGGGTTTCAGAAGTTACATTAGGCAGTTTTTGGGCGCAATTTTGCTGCTTTTCCGTCCTTCACTGCCATGGGGATTTGCCGCTGGGAGTGGTTCGATTTTAGGCTGCCTTTTGAACAGAAGGCGTAGCAGGAGCAGGCGCAGCAGCAGCAGCAGCAGCAGGAAACAGCCAGGAGAAAAAAGTAGCTAAAATCATCAATCATCATTTTCTATGGGTTTCAGAAGTTACATTAGGGAGTTTTTTGGCGCATTTTGATGCTCTTCCGTCCTTCACTGCCATGGGGATTTGCCGCTGGGAGTGGTTCGCAGCGGGAAACAGCCAGGAGAAAAAGGTAGCTAAAATCATCATTTTCTATGGGTTTCAGAAGTTACATTAGGGAGTTTTTTGGTGCAATTTTGATGTTCTTCCGACCTTCACTGCCATGGGGATTGGCCGCTGGGAGTGGTTCGATTTTAAGCTGCCTTTTTGACAGAAGTAGCAGGAGCAGGAGCAGGAGCAGCAGCAGCAGCAGCAGCAGGAAACAGCCAAGAGAAAAAAGTAGCTAAAATCATCAATCATCATTTTCTATACGTTTCAGAAGTTACATTAGGGAGTTTTTGGGTGCAATTTTGCTGCTTTTCCGTCCTTCACTGCCATCTAGGGTTTCAGAAGCAATGTTACAGAGTTTTTTGGTGGGATTTTGCAGGCCCAGCAGCAGCAGCAGCAGCAGCATGCCAGCAACAGCAGCAGCATGCCAGCAGCAGCAGCATGGGCATTTGCCGCTGGGAGTGGTTCGATTTTAGGGTGCCTTTTGAACAGAAGGCGTAGCAGGAGCAGGAACAGCAGCAGCAGCAGGAAACAGCCAGGAGAAAAAAGGAGCTAAAATCACAATTTTCTATGGGTTTCAGAAGTTACATTAGGGAGTTTTTTGGCGCAATTTTGATGCTCTTCCGTCCTTCACTGCCATGGGGATTTGCCGCCGGGAGTGGTTCGATTTTAGGCTGCCTTTTGGACAGAAGTAGCAGGAGCAGGAGTAGGAGCAGCAGCAGCAGAAGGAAACAGCCAGGAGAAAAAAGTAGCTAAAATCATCACTTTCTATGGGTTTCAGAAGTTACATTAGGGAGTTTTTTGGCGCAATTTTGATGCTCTTCCGTCCTTCACTGCCATGGGGATTTGCCGCTGGGAGTGGTTCGATTTTAGGCTGCCTTTTGGACAGAAGTAGCAGGAGCAGCAGCAGCCGCAGGAAACAGCGTCTTCAGCAGCAGGCGAAAAATGATTGCTAAAAATCATAAATGATTGCTCAAAATCATCATTTCTATGGGTTACAGAAGTTACGTTAGGCAGTTTTTGGGCGCACTTTTGATGCGTTTCCGCATGTTCAAGTGTGGAAATCTTCAGCATGATAGAGCAAACAGGTGGTATTGTCGTGTATGTTTGGAGGGTCGTAGTTTGACAGTAGTTTGGTCGTAGTTTGCTTTCGCCAAAAACTAACTATTTCCTAGGAAATAGACTATTTCCCAGGACATAGACTATTTAAAATCTATCTATTTACCAGGTTGTAGTTGATTTTTTAAAGAGAAAAACTGAAAAACTAACTATTCGACAACTTTATGTCCTAGATTTCTGTATATTTCGTCATTTTTTGTATATTTCGTCATTTTTTTTGGCGACGAATCTAAATATTTGGTAACCCCTCAAATCTATAGATTCCTACAAAATAGTCTACTTCCTGTGAAATAGACTATAGTCAGAAACGAGGCTAATTCAATCTATTGGGTAGATAGATAGATAGATAGACAGACAAACAAACAGATAGATAGATAGATAGACAGATAGACAGATAGATTAGGCAGATTAGATTAGATTAGATAGATAGGTAGATAGATAGACAGATAGATAACAAGAAAATTGTGATTTAAGTCTGCAAGCGTCATTGCTCCTCGGTGGCAACAACTTCCACATGACTGTGGCAGAGTTCGAAGGGAGACCAAGAATAAAAAAAAACTTCCCCTCAGCCACCGGGCAAAATCAGAAACAAACAAAGACCGAAAAACCGATTAGTCGGCCAATACATACAAAGAACCCTCCTGCTCCATCTCACGAATGGCTTCCAAATCTCTCTCCACTACTGTGGGATCAGCGTGCACCAAGACACACATGCCGATGAGGCTGGGCATGTCAGTCGACTTTTTCACCCAACGGCCAGCAGACATTTGTTCTTCCAGGAAGACCACAGACTGGAGCTCCCGAACCTGATCCGCGGGTAGAGCTTTGCTGTCAGTAAATAAAGACCTGGTCTCCTATTCAACTTAATTACAGTCTAAAGCTAAATGATTTTGAAAAAAATCAAAGGTAGGTTCAGGAACCTTGTCGAAACATGTGGATTCCGCATGCCCTTCATGGTAGGAGAGCAGCATGGCCAAAATTCCGAACGCCATAAAATCAGGGGGTGCATGAGGAAGTCGATCAAATGCCTCTGCGTTCATGAAGGCGTCTACGCAAGCCTCCACCTGCACCATCAAATAGGCACGTTGGTGATTAGACCATGGCTACCCAAATCAGCAGCTTAGACAGCTTTCAAAGTCTCAACGTGCTTGGAAAAACGCGCCTGTGTGTAACCTGTGAGAGCCAGCGCCAATGGCATCCATGACCCGTTGGCTCCATGACAACGGCTGTTGACTTCCACCAGGCATGGGCCCGTCTCGGTCATCATCACCTGGCTGCAAAAATGCTACAGGTCCCTTGTGCTTACTGAGTTACTTGAGGTCTGATCATACACACGAAAAAACATGTAGCGTGATCTACAATATGCACATCTTTGCACAATCACAGGGTGAAACCAGTTGTGTATTGGATGCCCGGGATGATGTTCACATTAAGATAACATAAGCACAACAGGCACTGTAAGGAACAAGAATGGGAGCCTTAAAAAACCTTCAAGGTGTTTTTGGAAGGTTTCACTGTTTCACGCGCAAGGTTTAAAATTGTTTCAACTGATCTAAAATCAATCTGCGTTCCACTGGTTCTGGCATCTTCTGACTGAGGACTGGGCACCTCAGTATGTGTGGCACCATCGGTGATCCGCAAGGCTTCCAAACAGCCATGGACATAGGCGATGAGCTCTTGCGCCAGAGGACTGCCGGAAGGAACGCACCGAATGCCAAAGAGAACAAAGTCAGAACCATTGGCGGGTCCATGATCTGTGACCTCAAAACATGGAGCGCTGGATTTCGGGGTTGTTCGCTTTTAGGGGATGGGCAGGGCACCAAACCTTAATCAGCTACGTCGTGCGGAGTGGCATTACAAATCTATGACAGCGGGAAAAAACATCATGCGTTCTCAAAACGAACTTGAGTTCCATCCATCTCTAGGGGCAAGAAGGAAACTAGAAAAATGGTTGTCGCAAATGTAATAACAGGGCATACGGGAAAAGGTAAATGATTTTTAAGGTTTGACACAGATTTTGGAAGTGTCATGCTGACGCACAAGCAACCAATTTGCGTTCCAGCCCAACATGTCGATCGTCTGGCGTTGTTTGTCATGCCTTTTCGGCCGCGGCAGCAGCGACTTTCAAATGGTGGAAGCTGCGCGCGAGCCACAAGGAGATGCGGGCAGTGGCTCATTCGCGTCAGACGCTCTACATTTTGCAGACCCTGATTGGGTTAGAGGACTCTTTAATCTCGTGGCTGCCACAAGACTCGATGGGAGTGCAACCTTCGCCGCTGTCATCAGAGGATCAATTGGCAATTGGCAGGGGTCATCAAAGACGCCGAGGAGATCGCACCTTGCGAGGCAGAGTGAGCCCATCGAAGGAGAAGAACTCATGTCCTCATCCGGCAGCTCGACTTGCTACTGGAGCGAACCAGCATGCGGCATGTATCATGTGCTGGAAATGCCATGCCCGTTGGAAGCTGGACAAAAGTCTCATGCCTGCAAAAGTCAAGACGGAGAAAGCCAAAGCAAAGGCAAAGGCATTGGCAAAGACGGCTGCAGCTCCCTCAACTCCGGCAAGTTCGCCGGATCAGTCACCGAGGAGTTGAAAACTCGTGCCATGGCTCATCAAAAGAAGGAACAAATCTATCAGGAACATGTGGCCCCATTGCAGCAGCTGACGATGGTCAGCCAGACAGAGGTGCGCACCCTGCCATCGGAGTTGGAGATGGCTGCCAAGAAGCGCAAGATTCAAGAGATCATGACGTCAGGGTTTGGAGCGATGGCCATGGGAGCACACTATGCCGAGAATGAGGCGTTTCACAATGCGGAGAAGCGTTTGGCGGGTCTGGAGATGGAGTCACTGGCAGGCTGCAAGAGGAGCTGGCAAAGGATCACGACATGAAGGGCGAGCCAAAAGCCAGTGGGGCATGCTTGGCAAGCGTCTGAGGATCCGAATGCTTCCCGCTCATTGTCCCGCTGCAGGAGGCAGGAGGTGATGCGATGGGCAAGGTGAAGTCCTTTTGTCAGACAGCGCACTGTGAGGTTGAGAAGATCTATGTTGAAGATGGCGGTGCGCTCTTTGAGGTGGATAAGGTGGAGGATCTACAGTATGAGGCCGAATGCGTGTTGCATTTCAAACAGGCATCCAGGCTGGTCATGGAAGATGCTTGCGCTGAGATTGAGGAGACGGCTTTGTCAAAGAAGCTCAAGGCAAGTTTGAGGAAAGCGTGCAGTTCCTTGGAGAATGAGTCTTTGGCGGTTGGAGTCAATGAGATTTACAGTCCTCCCAGAATTACGAAGGAACCCAAAAGACAGAATGTGGCAAGAGCTGCCCGAGGATGATCCTGAGCTGGTGGTAGATAGTCCTCCATGCACACCTTTCTCTCCCTTAATTGCAAGAGTGGGATTTTCCTCTGATGCTTTTCGAGGATGCGGTTGTCATGGTGGGCGAGGGCTTGGAGCACATCGTCACTCCTTGTCAGGTGGCGAAATGGCAACATTCTAGAAAGAAGGTGTTCCTTTTTGAGCACCCTCACCGGTCCAAAGTTTGGGATGAAGATTGCCTTGGGGAGCTCATGCATTTGCCAAGCGTTTTTTGTTGTGTGGTGGATATGTGTGCATTTGGAATGAGAGTTGGAAAGCTTCCAAACCGCAAACGCACCATCAAGAACTTATACCACATTGCTTATGAGCTTCAACGTCAATGCCCTGGGATCATGAGCATGAGCGAAAGGCTGCTGCTGTAGCAATTTATCCGCCAGAGCTCTGTCGAGCCATTGTCAGAGGGCTCAAGCGACATCTGCGTTGCAAAAAAAGAAGTGCCTGGAGGAAGTCCCTGAGGATATGCCCGCCACTCTCCCCCCCGAAGCAAAGAAGTTGACCTAGATGACTTTGAAGATCTTTTGCCAGAAGAAGTTCAGCAGTTTAGAGAGGAGATGCAAGAGAAGAAGAGAGCTGCAGTTGCTTTGACAGCAGAAGATACACAGAAAGTCTGTAAAATGCACTAGGACACCCGTCACGCGACAGTTTTGTGAGGCTTTTGAGAGCAGGGCGTATTAGAGAGGAGGTTGCCGATGGGTGCTCAAAGAGTTCAAGTGCGAGAAATGTGAAGGACAAGTACTCCCCAAAAGCACCCAGGCCAGCAGTTGTGCCAAAGTGCTGCAAGCTAGGAGTTGCAGTTGGCACCCATCTTTTCTACATTTCTGACTTGGCCAACAAGAAGTCTCTCCCTATCCTGAACATGGTTGACCTTGGCACCAACTATCAGATCTGGTGGGCAGCAAAGAACCCAGAATGCTTTGGTATGCGTTTTGGCACACCTGCTGTCGCACCTTTGGGATGCCTCAGTTTCTCTCTGTAGATGGGGGCCTGGAGTTCAGCGGGGGCTTCACGCGTTGGTGTGCAGATTTTGGGACTATTTTGTTCCGTGCAGCTGGAAGGTCGCCATGGCAAGCAAGCAAGAGCGGAGGCCTCATCAAAGACATGATCTTACAAGCTCGAGAGACGGCGTCTCTTGAGTCTGTAGAGGAGTTCAAGCTTTTGCTGAACAAATGTGAAGGAGCCAAGAATCGTTTTATGAACCGGTCTGGGTACAGTCCGGCGCAAAGGCAAACGGGCCGGTGGCCGCGGATCTCTGATGAGTGATGAGGCTTTAGATCCAGCTCTTCAGGCGCAGGACCACTGACGGGTTTGACAAGCTCCTATGGAGCAACACAGCATGTGCGAGGCGCTGGTCTTGGCAGAAAGGCCGCTTGGGTTGGTCCTGGACATGTGCTGGCGATGGAAGGCTCCGTAGTGTGGATCAAAATGTTTGGAGAACTCCGGAGGGCTTCTGTGGAACAAACACAAGAAGCCACCACCAATGGGTGCATGGACGTGGGGATGGTTTGGGAGCATAGTGATGTTACAGCAGAGCGGGCTATCGTGATGTTGCAGCAGACAGACCTTATGATGAAGAAGACTCAGAAGATGAGGTAGAGAGAGAGAGAGAGGGAGAAGGGAAAGAGAGGGAGACGAAAGGATTTCCAAGACGAAGAAGAGGAGATTTGTTCTCCCACAACTCCCTTACAAGATGACACTGCTGGACCCATTGATCCAGAACCAGCTCCAGATGTGCAGCGCGTTTCTGGGTCCTCACAGGAAGAAGTGCTGACACATCCACAGAACACTTCTCAGCAAGAGAGGCGAGCTTCAGTGATGACAGTGCCGGAGCCAGATGGAGAGATTGAGGTAGCATCTAGACCAGCTGATGAATTGGTCTTTCCAAATCTTCATGATGAACAGCAAGAGCTCAACCAGCATCCCGTCGCGCGAACCAGTATGACAGACTCAGTGGCGCAGAACAACATCCTGGATGCCTGCAAAGGTCATTTCGCCTGTCTGCCGAATTTGACGTCGTGCCGTAGCACAGCGGATACGACCGGCGGGAGCAGCACATAGTGTCCTCAGGAGGTCCCCGCCTGTTTTTGTTTTTGTACTGAGCCTATGGGCATATAGCATGAGTACTGAGCACCCTTTACATACGCTGTCAAGGCTCAAGAAGAGTAATATCCTAAGAGGTAGTAGAGACAGAGCTTAGCTCGGGCTAGTGCTAGCACTGACTGGCTTCTAGCCGTGTGTGGAAAACAAGTGCTGTGCGACTGGAAGACGCTCTAGCTGATCCTTTTAGGACGCTCTAGCCCCTCTTCAAGTGGTAGCGGAGCTGTGATCCTTCATTGAAGGTGAGCTCCAGGATGACCAGCCATGGCGACAACGATTATGATGACATTGACATTGCCGATGATGGATGGAATGCTCATGAAGTATACGCAATGAGAAGGAGCACACCCCAGTCCCAAACGATCCACATGACTCAGCAGATGACAACAAAAGTAGCACCAGCCTACGACGGCAGAACATCATTCTTCGCATTCGAAGACGCAATTGATGATTGGTGTGACATCACAGAATTAGAAGCCGAGAGACGTGGACCCGCACTCCTAAACGACTGGAAGGTGATGCCGCTCAATACAAAAGGTTACTGGATAGAGAACTCCTGAAAGACCCGGTTGAAGGTGTGAACTATTTCAATAGATTTCTGCGACCCCATTTCACCAAAGGAGCTCAAACTGCTTTCTTGTACAGGTTCATGCAGTTCATGAAACACAACAGAGGTACAATGGATTTACAGAGATGGATGACGAGATTTCAGCTTACTGCAAACAGACTTTTTGAGTCTTGGATGGATTTGGTTTCAGATTTGGACCTTAACAGTCCTGATGTGATTGCAGCAATTGCTCAACGTTGAGTTGCTCATGAAGAACAACAACAGAACCTTGCAGGTATTGCAGCAGCTACTCCAGGAGCACCACCTCATGTGAACGTGCCTTGGAATGATGAGATGTCTCGACAAATCCTTGTACAACTGAACAATGCAAGACGTCAACAACAACGATTGGCATTTCCTTTGAGTGACAACTTGTCAGCATTGATTTTTGTAAGTCTGGCAGATTTGACGCAGGATCAACGAAACACACTCACCAGTATCATGACACAGTGTGGTAGAACACTAGCTCAATACAACGTGCAAGAGCTCCGAGATCTCTTTTTGGAGATGTTTTGCACAACAAAGACCGCAGTAGACAATCCTATGATGCAACCCTCTGGCATGGCACAAAGAAGATCCTTCCTCGTCATAGAAGAAGGTGAAATAGATGGAACCAACGGCTATTGGGCCGAAGACGAAGATGATGGCGCAGAAGGTTTCCTTGAAGCTTTGGAAGATGTCTTCTGGG